TGTGTGTGTGTGTGTGTGTGTGTGTGTGTGTGTGTGTGTGTGTGTGTGCCCTCAGCCTGCACTGACTATGAACAAGCTCTATCATTACTTGAAAAGACAAACACTCAGTCACCATTTCCTCTTGGGAAAATTAGGTTCCCTGGAACACAATAGGTCACCACTTGTAATTTTGGCTCTGCAGTTAACTCCTTTCAGAAAAATTAATCAATCACAAATTGAGAACACCAAGAATTTCTCTATGCAGGATAAATAATATAGGTAACACAAGAAAAAAAAATCATGTTTCTTCATGCTCTGTGCATGAGGTTTCAGTGCCCTCCCTCCTCTGGGAGGGAGGAGCTGATCTGGGTGCTGACTGATGGAGCATATCCTCCGTAGGCCTTCTGTCCCACAGCTAGAGATGCTCGTAATAATAACAGAAATGGCCTGGCTTCTCAAAATTGTTTCACATTACTAGAGAATCCTGAGTGTGTCACATTTATCTCTTTCCAACAAAAGTTACAAAACACTAGAGGTCAGTCATTTACAATGCTGCTTTATTCATTCTCTTTCTCAAATTCATGCACAGGCTAACGCAATCCCCCAATGGAGATTATGACACAAGATCCACTGTGCGCTGTGGCACTGAATACTCACAAGGCACTCTGTGGCTTTCCAACTGGAAATGTTTCCTCTGCCCTGGCTTCCGAATCAGTGCCTCTCTCCAGCTGAGCCTTATCCCACTCAAAAAGAGTTGATTTTAACTTATTTATCAAAGATTTCCCTGTACTCTGCCCAAAGTTTGGCTATAGTAAGACCTGGAGAGGACAGAAGCTCTACAAGGACAGTGACAGATCCTAAAATTCTGGGCACAAGGGTCTTTTCTGAAACTGATACTCCAGCCAAGGACCACTCATGGAGATGGCCTGGAACCCCTGCACAGAGGTAGCCTATGGCAGTTCAGTATCCAAGTGGGTTCCATAGTAATGGGGATAGGGACTGTCTCTGACAGGAACTGATTGGCCTGCTCTTTGATCACCTTCCCCTTGAGGGGGAAGCAGCCTTACCAGGCCACAGAAGAAGACATTGCAGCCACTGCTGATGAGACCTGATACACTAGGATCAGAAGAAAGGGGAAGAAGACCCCCCCTTTCAGTGGACTGGGAGAGGGACATGGGTGGAGAAGGGGGAGGGTGAGATTTGGGAGGGGAGCAGGGAGGGAGGAATAGGGGGGATACAAAGTGAATAAACTGTAATTAATAAAAAAAATTATTTATCAAAGTGGCACATTTGAAGGATTCAGCTGACAAAATTTACTTATTTCCAATGTGGTATTCAATTATGTACCTCTCCACTAGGAAATGAACAACTTGAAACTTCTAAAATTAACTAGGCTGACAGAACTGTCTCCTCTATGAATAAAAATGTTTCTTTTCAAGGCTAAGTCTACATAAAGAAAGGACAACTACAGTCAAAATACACACGTGCAGTATAACAGCACTCACCAATGAAATACAGTAAAATCAGTTTACACACACAAACCTGGCTCATAGAGTTAGATAACTTAGATATGACCAATATTCAGTGTTACTTTCAAAACTATTCTCCAACTTTAATGTACATTTTTATCCATGTAAACACAAGAAAGAAAACCTCAGTTCATCTTACAGCTATTCAGACCTTACCTCAGAAATAAAAGCACCAACATTCTTCACATGGTTTAGCATAGGAGTGTCAGTCACAAATGTACACTTGTCCTTAGACTTTTTATAATCTTCTTTATAATGAATCTGAAAAAAGTTAATTAACATAAGAAAAATCAGCTATAGTGAACTTTTTCTTCACAAGAAGTTAAGCTACTCAACTTCATTTAATGAAATAAAGATTGAAAGGCAGGATGCCCCTCAGAACAGCCAAATCAGCGATCCCTCCCCGCCCCCTAGGGAGCTGCATAGGCAATTCGACTAGGGGAGAACCATGTTTCCAATATGCAGTCGTCATCAGGGCTCAGGGCTGGGGACCTAGGGAAACAAAGGATGAAGGTCCTTGCTGTGTAGGTGGGAGGACCAGAACTTAAATCTCCGAAACCTACACAAAAGTCAGACAACTACTTAAGCATCTGTAGTTCCAGCACTCCTGAAAGGAGGTGGAAGGCAGAGACAGAAGAATGCCTAGGAGCTTGTGGGCCTGGGGTGGGCTTGGGCAGACCCTGTCTAAAAACAGGTTGGAAGAACCTACAATCAAAGTTGTCCTCTGACTCCACACATGTGCGGTGACACACACCTGCCTGCACTCACACACAAATGTGCACACATACATATCATTCACAGACATACTCTCTCTCCCTCTCTCAATCTCTCTCACATACATACACACACACAGAGTTCAAACCTGAGCCTATTGGCCAAAAGATCTGTGGCTTGAGACAGCTGCCTACCTCAAGGGAAAAAACAAGAAGTGCTCAGAAAAGATTCAAAATATTGAGATGTAGGGGTAGAAACTAAACAAACATATTACTTTTAGCCTTGCTGCCTTTACAGACCAGATCATAGAAAGCGACTTAAACTTTGGCCAAAACAGGCCTATTACTAATTGATTTCTTCAAATCCAACTTTCCCAAGCTATCAGTACCCATTGCCTCCCTCCCACCTATCCCCCTGCTCAGAATCTGCCCAGAATGTTTTCCAGGTGGTACAGATCTTTCCAGAATACCACGGTGCTGTGAGTGGGTGGATCCACCAGAGAAAGCCTTCTGGGGGCTTAAGTGAACATGCTCAGTTTTCTCAAACTCACTGGCAAAATGAATCACTAGCAAACACTACTTAGAGAGAGGCCAAAATTATTCTCCTGTTGAGATTCCACATGACACATGAGCTCAAGAAGTAAAAGGAGTATGAAGAAGGGCCAGCAGTGTCTCCCTGTCAGGTTAACTGCTGGACGATATGAAAATTGGGTAGGGCAGATTTCAGAGACGTCAAGAGAACAGCAGTAATTTGCTGAAATTTATATCGTTCTGTAATAAAGTCATGTTTATCTACACAAGACCATAAATACGTAAGCTGGAAAACTGTCCCAATTCACACGATAAATTATATGGTCTTCCTAATTATAATTCAAATGTGATGTTTGCTTGTGCCCACCGCCCAGCTCTTAAGAGGGCATGATTAACATTGATGTAATGGACTAACATTCCATGGAGATTTCCCATTTGCAAATCTGATTTGAGGAGCCTAACCTGACCTGAGGTGTAAACAGATACAAATACAGTAAGTAATTTCAAAACTCTACATTTCACTGCTGTGTCTCATAGATATTAATGCCTACCATTTGCTTTATTCATGAAATCAACAAGAGAACATATTTATCTTATCTGAACACTAAATTACATTTTTTTCTTCTCAAAGATTAGCCATAATTTAAGGTTCCTGCAAATCTCTCTCCTCAGTCACTAGTAATTAAATCGTTAATGGCAGGATGATAAATACCAGGCTATTTTGATCATAGGGGGAAAAAAGTACCCCGTTATATAATTAAGTGTGAGAAAAAAATAGCCTATCATTAGGCTTAAGTTTGGCTCATTATTTTTATCTTCTGCCACCATCTTTCCCATCAGAATCACATTCTCCAGTGCAGTGGTATGTGCTTATGGCTAGAGGCCGTCTGATAATGCTTGACAGGGGCTAAAAGCTGAGGACAGGAGCTGGGGATAAGGGTGAAGTATTTACTTCCTTTGTTCTGTAGACAAATTCTTCAGCCTTGATTGCCAGGCTTCATGACCTTCTTCAATCTTTATTTAGAAGTTGGATGCATTTGCATCTTTAAGCTTAAGATGTATTTTAAAATTTAAGGTCATTTGCCTGTTGGTATTTATCTTATAAAATTTGTTACAAATCACACACACACACACACACACACACACACACATACACACACACACACACATGCACACACATGCACACACAGACAATGATTGGTGTTGGGTTTCTAATGAATTTGTGTATACGGTTTCCAGTGAGTTTGTGTGCAATTCCTAATAAATTCCCCAATATGCAGAACAATAAGTAAATGTTCGTAAGATTTTACATAATTAACTCTATTATATATTTGTAGGATTACTGTGCTGGTGTGATAGGACATGATAAATGAATAAGAACAACATCAATCAACTACACACAGTTTCACTCAGATAAAACTCAACAAATAGATGGCTTGTCTATGAGTTATATGATACCCTTGTCTATGAATTATAGTCTAAGACTGCCTCCACGTATTGGTGAGATTTCTAACCATACCCCTTCAGTCCACTCAAACAGACCTGAATGGGAATCAACCTCAATCCCCAAGGATGGACTGGGATAAACAGGCCCTGTTGCATCATTTTCTTTGACTCCTCATTATTCTGAGAGGATACAGGGGCACAGAGGCCAAAGGTCCACCACCAGACACTTTGTGCAGTCTTCCCGGCAGAGCTTCTACTATTTCTGGGCTAATGGGAGAAGCTTTGCACAGTCATCTGACATGGTAAGATTCCATCTTTTTTTTTTCACTCAATCATGGGGGCAGCAGCAGTGATGTCAGGAGATGATAACCAAGGACCCTGATGAAGGCAAGGCAGAAGAAAAGATACCAGGGAGAATGAAGATGGCCACTGTGTGGAGACGGAGCCACCTACCTCCAGGCTTTATATGGGAAGAGAAAATATTCTCTCCTGCACTGGGTAAGCTCTTGCTGTTACTTGCAACCATCTGTCTCACAGAAAACACACAACCCAACATATCTTCAAATTAAAGATAGAAGTAGGGTAATGTTGATGGCTTCATGGTCAATTAGAGGTCCCAAACATTTACTTTATCCCTTGGCTTTTCCCCCTAATCCCATGATGTTCCCTCTAAAATTAGAGGAGAATTAGTGGACAGTTTCTTCCTGTTCCTGCCCATGGCAAGAACAAGATTAGCTAATGGCCCAGAGTGCATGACAGATGTGGAAATGTTTGTGACTATTTCTTCCTACGTGGATGCTTATCTAGAAAGTCTTTGCACAAAGAAGATCACATCCCTTGAATTTAGTTAAGTCTGGTGAGAAAGAACTACAGTTTGATCACAGCTTATGAACCAGAAGGTCATGACCAAGGTCACTCTTCTGGGTTTTCTAATATACTCTGGGCTTTCTCTAGAGGAGTCACAATGGAATTTAATGTTTTCATCATGGGAAGGATTTGTCCACAGCAAACAAGTTTATTTGCCTGAAAAAAAGTTGTCCCCACTAGCACGCAGGCCCCTACTAGCACCTGGCAATCTTTGCAGTAAAGTACTCAATAAGACTACCCGCTGTGAAGCCGGCTTAGTTCTACACAAGCTCATTCTGCTTCACATACATGAAGCCTGCCAAAGATTCCTTTTTGCCCAGTGGTTTTGTTTTGTTTTTGAGACAGAGTTTCTCTGTGTAGCCCTGGCTGTCCCGGAACTCACTCTGTATACCAGGCTGGCCTCGAACGCAGAGATCCTCCTGGCTCTGCCTCCCAAGTGCTGGAATTAAAGGAGGGAGTTGCCACCACCTGGCTTGCCTAATATTTTTTATGACTACCACCCAGAATATTATTGGACCCACAATTCTGGATGCTCAATCTAGTAGACAAGTGAAATTTATACAAGGGATTGATGAGGCGTTTGACAACCAAAATGAACTATCAGGACATTTAGTTAGAGAGATAAAGTGTTACACACTTGAAAGGAAAATTAAGATGCTGCCTGGAGGCAAGATGCCCTTCAAGGCAGGGGTGTGAGTTATGCAGAAGAAACTCCATGGTGTAGGCAGCTCAAACACAAAGCAGAAACTAGATGAGAAAGACATGGAAAAGAGAAGAAAAGAAAACCTGAAGAAAAATAAACATCAACAAGGCAAGGAGTTAAGAAAGAAAAATACTTTGTACTAATTCCCAAAGAGAAACCTGAAAAACTGACATTTCTCTGCTGTAGAGAATTCCACACAGTAAAGCCTCCCAGGACTGACCCCAAGCCAACCTTACTTAACATTTCTACATACTGCCTGGATATTAGCAGAGGGGCCTGGATATAGCAGTGTCTCCGGGGCTTCAAATGACCCTGGTTCTGTCTCTGTCTCTCTGTCTCGTCTGTCTATCTGTCTGTCTGGCTCTCTCTCTCTCAGAGTGAAATGGCAAGCTCAATGAGATGAGCCTCAGATACTCTCAAAAGTGAGGGAAGAAGGCAGGAAAGTGGTTATTCAATCTATCTGGTGTAAGCAAGCTTGCAATCATTCAGACTGCTATGAAAGACAACAGGCCCAAGCTATCAGCAACAGGTCAAAAATTAACGGTTTCTCCCTGTCTGTGGAACTCCAAACAGCTTTACAAGGGGCATTGGAAACACAACTCAGTATCAACTCACTCATAGTCCCAAGTGACCCACAGCTGGACTGCTGGGCACAGTTCTGATTATAATAATGCTATGGAGACATATAAGGCAAGAGAAGATCCAAAGAAGAGAAACCGGACCAGTGGAGGACAATATAAAGTTATCTGGTGCAAAGAAACCCATAACGCCCACACCCGTGCTGGAAATGAAGCAGAGCAGAGGGTGGCTGGTGGCTAGGCTCTGGCTTAGATAGCACTCCACTTGAGCTTTGTACCCAGTGCTCACAGGAAGGTCTTGGACAGTCACTCAACTTCTGATTTGTACACCCTGGAGCTGGGACACATGGACACTACACAGAGGCTTGAGGCTTGCTGCCTACACAAGATAGGAGTAGGTGTGGAGTGCCCGGCATGCATGCGGCAAGGAGGTAGGCTACTGGGATGGCCGAGGCTTGAGGGTCACACTGACCTTGTCTCACTCCCAGGGAACTTGCCAACTGAGTGAGTGAGTTGGTCTCTAGCATATGAGGGTTTCCTCAAGCTTTAGGGTACAGGGCTCTGCTAGTTCAGCAAACTCCTCCCAATCTCACCCAGTAACAGCTCTAAACTCAGTAATGTGAAAGAAAATTGCCCTCAAAAAAAAAACAAAACAAAAGAAAAAAGCAGCAAGGAAACACAGATGCCCCTCACGGACAGGATCAATGATGAATCCCCACCAAAGTATGTGCAGGTTCCTGCTTGAGTTTGGCATTTGGTAGGTTAAATGTGGGCCACCAATCTAGCACCACACAGTACTGTACACCATACAGAACAGGCTCAACCAGAACATAGGACCCTGTGTGACAAAACGTCCATTTGTCGATATCATTTTAACTCAGTGACTGATGCATGTTAGACAACCAGCTGGTTATGCAACTACACAGCACAAATGAAAATTTTCAAATTTAGAAATTTTATTGAATAAAAAGGAATCTCAAATGTAAGGTCATTTGCTCCCTATACAATTACTGATGTCCTGAAGAAGAACAATTAACTTTCAATTAGTTGTATTTAACTGAAACCTTAAGGAACATTTAATTTATCTCAGTATTTGTTTGTTTACCTATTTATTTTGCAGCTGAGGGCCTTGTAAACCCTTCTTTTAATTTTTATTTTATAAATTAGTATAATTTTTCAGACTTTTTATTGATGCGTGTAAAAATTCTAGAAACTAAATTATTATCTGAGTAAGTGCAGAATTCTATGCTGAAGTAAAGTGTGAGCACATACCCAGTCGTAAATTAAGGAGCAATGATCATGTTCTAAATATTTAAGCAGTACAGACATTCCACCATGAAACACAAATCTATAATAAACAGAAATTTCTCCCCTGTGTTTGATTTCACCTAAAGGAAAACAGCACGAACCTTGCATCCACAAAGTGATAAAAAAAAAAAAAAGCTATTGTGCCTCCCTACAGGAAGGCGCTTAAGTCACCAATAAGCAATCCGCCCCCAAAACACTCCAATAAATCACCTGCCTAATTAAAGCTACAGCCCAGCAATAATTACAGTTCAGTAAAAACATATCAAAGCTGGGAGCGGCGCTGCCTCCAGAGCGGGCTTTAAATGGTGCCATTGCTGAGACTGTTGGTGGGATCCACTCTGGGATCCGCTAGGAGAAAGAACAGCGGAGTGAAAAGAGGAGCTCTGTTTTCACCTCCCTGGTCTAACCTCCGAGTACCTCCCTCCCCTTACTTCTAAAATGGGGGGAAACAGGAGACCCAACCTCACAAGCTATGACACCTGTCACGAGGTGCTCACTAAATCTTAACTGCCCCTGGTGTCAAGGTCATCGCTGTAGCAACCCTTTCCCATTATTGCAGTTTACAAAAAAGGTTTACATGTTAAGTAGCTTATGGTTATAACTAAGTAATAACAAAGAAATTCTAATTTAAAATTTAACCATCGCAAGAATTCGGGCTGAGTATGCCCATTTCCACCTTTACTACCACCTTTACACCAAACATAGTCAAACAGGTATAAATGTTACAGATAGAGACAGTGCTTCGAAGAGTAGATGCAGCATTTTAAATTACACTTCATCTTAGACTTATAAACATTATGCTCAAAAAGCTAAACCCACCAGCATCAATAACATTTCCAAGGTTATTGTTTAGCTGACTTGAGCAAAATGACCTTGGAGAACTGGCCAATACACTACCCTACTCTGCAGGAAACAAACTTTGCAAATTACCAACAAGAGTTGCAGCCAGTTTTGTGCTCAGCTTCCTGAATGCACTTCATTTCAAAGAACTCCATGTTTTTTTAGCCAGCGATTCTCTCATATTTTTGGATCTGTTGCGTTCTCATCCTAAGTGAGAAATAGTCTTCCTTATGAAGTTAGAATTCTAGTTTGAATATTTATAAACTAGAATGTGTACATGTATACATTAAATAACTCTAAAAGTTCCTTGGAATACCATATAAACTAGCTTCATTTCCTAAAAACAAAAATGTTCCTTTTTAACGATATCATCATGTGAATTAGGGTTTTTAATGCATAGTTCCATTAACACACACACACATCTATATTACACAGAAATTTTGGATACAATTAATGGTACATAAAGTTTCGTGATTTGGAAAATTATTGCATTTGACAAAAATTTCAAATGGCTCTCAGAGTATTAAGCGCCATTCATTAGATAAAAGTCTTCCATGCTGAAAATCGTTCACTTAGATAGAAATCTTTCTGAGACAGACTGTATCATCGTGCTAATTTTTAAAGTCTTGGGGGTTCTCAAACAGGATGAGCTTGATGATGCAGCACCATGTAATTCAGGATGACTGCACAACTTGGAAAAAACAGGACCTGGATTTGGAATAAGGACAATGGCTCCAGCAGATGTCCCTGCCTATATGACCTTGGAAAAATCACCTAACATGTCTGGACTTACTTCTGTGATCTAGAGGATGGCTGTGCTGTAACTGATGACCTCTGGTGTTCTCTCCAGCCCCACGACTCCACAACACAGACAACCCGTGTGAACAAAGCAACTAAGACAAAAGTCTTTTCAAAGCACTTACATCACTAATGAGTTCAGTGCACTTTCTGGCCAGTTCCATGCTTAGATCTTCAATAACAGGTTTAAGAAACACCTATGTGAAAAAATTAAAAAGAGAGAGAAAAGGACCATTTTATCCTTGTCTGTTAAAGGACTGACTTTTGTTCTTAGGTGAATTTTTTTCTCACTCACCTTGTCCTCCTGCTTTTCTTCCTCCTCCACATTTTCAGTCTCTTCAGTTTCACCTTTTACATCCTCGAATACAGGCACCTTCATTTTTGCCCTATCAAAAAATTAATGCTTTAAAACTTGAGTCTTTCCATGGACCGCCACACCCTTGAGCTCCGATGTCTCTGGGGCACTGGAAGCAACAGGCATGCCAGACTTTGTTCCTGGCTCATGTCACCCTCCTTATCTCAACGGCGTGTCAGTGAACACCAGGACCCTCCAGCTCTGACAGGTCCAGCCTCTCAAGTGAAAACTAACATCTTCTGAGGCAAAGTTCAATTTTATAAACCTAAAATTAACATTCTTTGGATACCTTAAGAAACCCAAAACAGAAAATGTTTTTTATCTTTTTTTTCTAATTCAATTCACACCCCCCCCCCCAATGGTTTAAAAGGGACTTGAAGATTCTAGAAATCTACTCAGCTATAACAACCAAGATAGCATATCGTAAAGCTGGTTATCCCAAAGATTTCTTAACTTGGTCTAAATAAAGTTTTCTCTGGAATGTCAGACATGGCTCTTTTTCCATAGAGAGACCCTGTACCATACAAGTTCACTTCATTAACTTAAATTAAATGTTTTATGAGATTTTAACGTACTTCTCACATCCCCCCAAAACTACTCACTTTGTATTAGCTGATTAGAGGCCAATAATTTATACAAAAAGCCCTTTGAACCACTTCAAAGAATCTATTCTGAGTTAATTATGACTGTTAATCTCAAATTAGATAATACTGTATCACATTAATTGTAAACATCATTAAACATGAGAAGTTGAAGTTAATATATGTTGATATATTATTTAAGACTTCTAGAAACATCATTGCTTCAAAAATAATCATTCTCTTTGCATTTTTCTCATTGTATAAATTTTCACAAATTCACTAGTCATTTTTTATAGTCTCACTGTATTACACAGTTGGAAAATTAAGAGTTTAAGTTAAGATATTTGTCGTGTGGACTGTCATACTTGTTCTATAATTAAGAAAACACATCCCACAACAAATCCTTTATTGTCAATTTAAGCAATTCTAAGAATCTATCACTCCCCATGTGTTAATTCGGCTGTTTAAATTTTACAGTAAATTTGCTTTTTACAAAATTATAGCATATCACTGATCAGTGTTAGAAAAATATTCTATGGTGACTAATTAAATCAATTACATAAAATACATCTTTATCAAAAGTAATACATCATTCCAAATAGCCAAGTATAATGCATTCTTCATATACTTTTCAATTTATTTTAATAAACTATTATAAAAATTTTTCAAATTTTAATTTAAAAAAACCACGGAAGCTAACGAGACCTACAGTCTATATATGCCACTGAACATCTGTGGAGGAAGAACAGCCATGCTGAAGCTACGGAGCTTCACGTCACATTTTACACTCCAGCTATAGAGCATGCATTTATGCACTGATCCTCATCAGCTCTTTCTTAGGAAAAGTGCCTCAGCACTGCCTAAACTGAAGTTCTAAGAAAGAAGACATCAGAATTCTGCACGACCATTAAAAACATACTATTTCTTAAATTCTTTTCCAAAAGGCAGAATGTTTCCAAAATGGTTGATAAGAGAAAAAAAAAACAAAAACAAAAACACAATAATCTAGGGGTTGGAGAGATGGCACAGAGGTTTAAGAGCACTGGCTGTTCTTCCAAAGGTCTTGAGTTCAATTCCCAGCACCCACATGGTGACTCCTAACTACCTATAATGTGATCTGGTGCCCTCTTCTGGCCTACAGACACACAGGCAGGCAGAATACTGTATAAATAATAAAGTAAGTATTTTTAAAAAAAACAATAATCTAAAACAAATCTACTCAAGACAGCAAACTGTAAAAGAATTTCTAGACCTGCCAGGATGAGTGCTACAGGCCACAGTGACACATGCAGAGATCTGTGATGACCATCAGTCAAAAGCCCTACTCAGCTTCCCAAATCTTTCATTTCCAAAACACGAATCCTGCTTCTTCTCTCATCCCAACTATTGCTCTGCCTACCTCTACCTCTACCTGGTCCCTTCTATGAAATGTGACCGAGGGCAACATTGTTACAACTGACTAAATGTCTTCTACAAGCATTGCTGGCCTTCTCGTGGAACCGTTCTGGATAGAAGACAAATGAAAGGTATCACACACCCCACCTGACCAGCAGACTGCCAGAAAGAAATAGGCCCAAGGATGATTAATTGGGAAGCCTTGAGATACTAGCCACACCAAGCCAGGATGTTTTGTTGTTATTGTTAAACTTGTCCTGTAAGGAGAAGAATGTGTGGTCTGTAATTGTTTCCCTCGTGTCCTCTCCCAAAGGCTATTCTGCTAGTCTAGAATATCCGCTGTACTATCTTCAGGAAGGAAATGCTTCCTATGGATGATTAATTTCTATATACTTTTACACAGAAACAAAACACTGCCAACACTGTCCAAGATGCACCTCTTAGCTTCCACTTCAGATGATAATCCTCGTGTTGCTCTCGTGATGTCTGTTTCCATAGTGAATGACCTGCATGAGGCTTGAGCAGTTTCTCCTCTCGTTTCCAATCATGCTCTGAATTCTTATTGGCTCTTCACTGGGCTGCAAGAAAATAATCACTCAGGCCTTAATGCACAAAAGTTCCCAAGATAGAACCAAACACCACGCCTAATATGAACACATTTTTTTTTCTTTTGAGAGGCTGGAATCAGAATTTTAAAGTCACGTGGATCCTTAGTAAATCTTTAGGAGCTAGGATTTATCACGAAAGCTTATATTCCCAGCTATTTTGGGAGAGGGGAGCAAAAGAATCACGAGTTCAAGGCCGGCCCAAGTTACAGCGTGAGTTTCAAACCAGCCTGGGCAATTTAGTGAGACCATGCCTTAAAATAAACATAAAAATTAAACAGAAGGCTAAGACGGTAGCAGGGTTATTAGAAACTTTGCTTGATTTCTGTAAGCAGGTATGTGGCAAAGCCCTCCGTTGGGCCCCAACGCCGAAAACCAACACAAACCCCCACTTAGAGCGCCTTCCTTTGGAGAGGACAAACTGAGGGCCAGGAACGGTTAACTGCATGCTTCCTTTGCAAAGCGATGTAACAAGTACTATGATGGAGCCCTGCTTAGCGCAGAGGCATGCTGGGGCTGCTTCTCTGCCCAGGGAAGGAGAGCCAGTGCGGAGGAACACATACCCCGGAAGGAGAAAACCTCAGAACTTGCCGGGTGAGCTCTTTAATGGACTTTCTGGCAAGCCACATACACCGTTACTTTTGATTTAGTGCATCTTCTTTTCGCTTACATAAGAATATAATATAAAATTTATGTCAAATTTCCTCTAAAAACTTCAAGCCCTGATTTTATTATAGCCATGCTTTTCTGTCAATAGGTCTAAATTCTGACTTTGGGGATTTTAAAAAAGTATTATTTGAGGGTAGTTATTATGTTTTAAAAATACCTATCGTTCTTAAAATCATAGTTTAATGTTGTATACCAGTACGTACTTTCACCTCGGAGTATCCACAAAGGAAGCATCTATGCGCTTGCTAATCCCTTTCTACTTTACACTCTTCACTTACATTGTCTACATTTTTACTCTGTTCCTCTCTCCACGAAATGATACGGAATGAGACCAACACGGGAGATCACATTCCTCCTGATGAACCCATAGAATTCCAAATCTGGCTTGACCACACCTTCTACAGAAGATCCTTTAATCCATGCCTGCCTCCCATCTGGCATAATTCAGAATGGCACTTTAATAAAAGGAAATCACTTGAGCTTTCAACAAGGTGCACAGTTACAAGAAAAGCTCCAGTTTTAAAAGGGTCCTATTATTTCAAAGGGTGAAGAAGGGCATCCCCCAGCAGCTGACAGTGGAAAGATAAGAGCTGACTTGTGTAATAATAATTCTGAAGTCTCCTGAACTTTTAATAGCATGATGTGTATGCAGAAGCAGATAGAGTTCTATAGCAACTGCCAAGTGAGTAATGACAACGTGAAGAGACACAGCCCTGGCCAAAGAAGCACATCTGTACCACTCTGGTGAGTCACACAAGCCTCCCTGTCCTTATCCCCAGTGTCACAGGCAACAAGGGTCTTGTTCTGTTAACAGATATCCCACATTTATTCCATTCAGTTCTCCTTTCTTTTCTTCATAATAGAGTATGTTCTTTGCTTTTCTTCAGCATGGAGACAACTTACTTACATATGAAAATACCTAATAAAATATTACAATAAATTATGGTTCAGCTCTGAGTTGAGATTAAAGACACCTGAAAATATGGAGCCTCGGACCATGGGATGTTTTAGATTACAGGTACTTGGGAATGAATCAGCAGAAGCTGGAAATGGCTTTTCTCTGAAAATCCTTTATTTACACAAGGACTGGCTCTACCAAGAGGGAAGAGAGTTGTCTTCCACCATGTTATTCATCAGCCAAAGAAGAGGAAACCAAACATCCAAAGCCTAAACAAACTTTGTCTGAATCCATTGTCTTTCTGACTTCATTTATCCCCCTCCCAAATAATTTATTCTTCCCTAAAATTGCCTAGATCATGCTTTGCTACACTCTCCCCTAGGAAGGTGTATATAAGCCTCTAAACCCCAGTTGGTTATGGGGCCCTCACTGTCCTACAGTCTTCAAGAAAAGAGGTCAGTGGTTTGAATATTCTGATATGGCCCTTAACAAGAACCAGAGGGTCAGGCAGCTTTATTATCACAAAAGAAGATGTATGTATGTATGTATGCACGTATGCATGTATGTATGTATCTGTGCATACATGTGTATATGTGTATATATATATATATATATATATTAGAGTGCATGTATGTATGTATCCCTTTTCTAGAGTTCTTCGTGGAATGTGTCAGGAATAGTTGTGAAAGACTTTGACCCTGATATTAAAAAAAAGCTGAGTATCTCATCAAGTACTTCTTTGTAACTATACTGTCTTTAAGCTATTTTGTAATTCTGCAAGGTGTTAAAAATTGATAATAATACAAAGAATCCTTATCTACAGAAATGTAAATTATGTCTTAGAGAACACAATTGATTATTGGCTTTGCATCTATTTATGAATTCATTTCAGTATTCCTTATTATTTATGCATCTATGGTTCCTCAAATTCACCTTTGAACCAACAGCAACATCTTACTGGTCCCCTCATTTATTAATATATTAAATACTTGAAATGTGCTTATTTTGTGGCTTATAAGAATCACATATTTTAACAATATGTCATTTAACAGTTATGAGTATTTTATTCTAGGTTTTTTTTTAACATTTAGCAAAAAATAAAGAAAAAAGGACTTGCTGGAGAAAGTGCTCTCAATTATGAAGGGCTGCTATGAAAATGTTTAGCATGCATTGTAACCTGCCTCTCATTTTGTTTTGTTTTCAAGCCTGACCTTGTTTTACTATTGGCAAGTGCTATGTGTATGAATGCACACATGTACATATATTCACACATACCCCAAACAACATATACTCGCAGGCGGAGTTAATTCATCACAGCTGCCAGTTCCTGCCTGAAAAGCATAAAAGGCTCCAATAAATGCTAAGACTTAATTATTTCTCACATCTGGAAAAACTTGAACATGAGAATGGATTTATTGAAGAAGCTCTTCGGTGGCTGTCATCACCCCATTCAGAGCCAGAAAGAGAGAGAACAGGCTTAATCACTCTTGGCAATTCTTTAACCGACTCAGAATAGATGCTCTACCAGTTAATTCATAACACAGTTTGTTTACATGATTTCTGGATTTTATGGAAGCACAATGAATAAATAATTCCCTAGTAACTCATGTAAAAGAAACTGTTTTGTCATGTTTGGTCTGGGGAAAGTTGTACATCAAACTGTGGAAACACGATGAAGTCCTCCTATTCAAGGAAACAAAGGGATGGGTTTGAAGGAGGTGTAAAGCACTTTGAGACCAGCTATTAGAACGATAGTTACATAAACACACGAGAAACAGATGATGTGGCACTTCCTGGAGAAAGTGTAATGCAGAAAATGGAAGCAGGAGAGTTATGTGAGTGCAGAGCAAGAGGACTTCACAAAAACAAGGGAAAGATCAGGTCCCTCCCAGGTAAGCCAAACTTGAGCAAGGTGGTACCGTAGAAGGAAGACATCCAGAGAGCATTTGCACAGAGAGGTACAAAGCACCCCAGAGTTCAATGGCACTGTCGCCTACAACAGGAGCGAGGAAGAGAGAGAGAGGGAGTAATGGAAGCTTTGGTTTCTTTGTAAACTCAGTATGTTATGTAAATATGTTTTTGTTTTAATCCCAAGAGTGGGATTTTAGTTTGGGCTTTAGTTTGTCCACAGTGGAGAACTGCCTCCCGCAGGGCATAGTCTTTGCCAGCTGGTAATGACCTGCCTCGGGCAGCATGGACAGGGGCGTGGTCTAGGACTCTAAGAGCCAGAAAGTGTGGCATGCGGTGAGTGGCAGTGTGGCAGTTTGGAGCAGACAGATAGGAATGTTCTAACACAGTGGCTTGGAGGAGACTGTTGCCTGTGTTTGCTGTTGATGGAGACTCGGATAGCGCCTAAGAACACACTGACCCTAAAGGCTGTAGCTCCTCTCCCCACTAACCTTCTATCTCCTACCTGGGGTTGGAAAGCAGAGGCTTTAAAGAACCCCAAATAAAATAGAGTTAGCATATATATATAAAGCTAGTGAGCTGTGAACCTTTTATACATGATACAGTTCCTGGTCAATTAACTATGGAAGCAGCAGCTCTTCAGAAACTCTATTCTCCCTATGTGCCTTGAACCTAACTTTTATCTCTTCTTAGTGTCATTAGCCAAGTGAAATTATTCCCTCTGTATGGACTGTGTAAAATTTTTAGTGTTAATAAGTACTTTGAAGTTTATTTGTCTATAAGGGGAAATACACAAGAAGAATTCATGTAAGTAGAAATACAGAAAATTTCTAGTAAGGATGCTCATTACAAAACTTCAGTTTCAGATGTCTACAGTTACGAGAAGCGACTGAATGGGCAGCTTCATCTGCCCTGCTAAAAAGTGATACAACGTTTGTACTTTAGCCTCAAGCATCAAGTCAGTAACGACCGTCCTAACCAAGGACGTCTTCTGTCTTCATATACTGATCTCATCACACTTCAAACCAAGAAAGTAAAATGAGTAGTCTCACAGATTCATAACTTTTGAAATATTAACTCTTAAGTCTTGTTTCAATTTCCATGGAATGCCTTCATTTGTAACTTAAAATAGAAGACTATTTCAAAAACCATTTTTTTTTCCCCCGAGGCAGCCTTGGCTGTCCTGGAACTCACTCTGCAGAACAGGCCGGTCTCAAACTCAGAGAACCACCTGCCTCTGTCTCCCAAGTGCTGGGAACAAAAGGGTGTGCCACCACGGCCTGGCTTCAAAAAAACCAAATATCACAGAAATTCTCTCATTAAATCACTTAACAAGGCTGGGCACACACCTTTAATGTCAACACTTGGGAGGCAGAGGCAAACAGAGGCAAGGCTACAAAAAGAAACCCTGTCTTGATTTAAAAAAATAAACAAAAACAAAAACAAACAAAACAAAAACCCCACTTACTGAGAAGTAAATTATTAAAATAATCAGTAC